TAAATCTCGGCAGGTTTCGGTCTCCCTCTCCGAGCCGGGCAGGACTGAACCCGAGCGGGTCCAAACGGCTCCGGCGCCGCGCTGCAGACACGGAAACCTCAGGACGGATTCTTCCGGATGGAAAAGACATGTTCAGGATGTGGAAAACCAGAAAACTGGATTTACATTTTTCCTGTTCGAGCAGAACCAGAACCACTCAGGAGGACGAGAAAAAATTTAATTAAAAATAAAACTTCAAAAGAAAGAAACAAAATAAAAAATGATGCTTTAACAAATTCGTCACATAAAAGCTGTAATCTGACAGATTATAGTCTGTGATTAACTGCGTGTCGACTCAGGCCACCGCGGAGCGGCGGGCGATCGAGGCTCTTTAACATGAGAGAGAGAGAGAGAATTATGGAGTAATTGGAAGCAGCTGTGGAGGGAAACACTGGTTCTGTTCGGCTCTTTGGGTTTGTTGTTCTGAGAACAGAGATGGGCTGACGTAACCCAGCAGAACTCACACTGCAGAACCGGGCCGGGTCGGGTCCAAACAGAGTTTATAATCTGTTTGGACTTTTATTCTACAAACTTTAAATGAAATCATTTAGGAGGAAATCAGAATTAGCAGCTCTGGTCTGGATTGGCGGTCCAATTGGCACCGACTGAAGACCCACACTTGGGACCTCCAGAACCAGAACCCGTCTCGATCGACCGGATTTCAGTTTCAGTTTATTTCTCTCAACGTTGGAGCCGAAGCCTCGAGTCGCTGCAGACAGAAGACTCCAGAAATTACAGCTGAGCTACAAATAAACCTCATTATCACCGGTTTCCCCCGGAGTCATCAAAGTGTGTGTGTGTGTGTGTGTGTGTGTGTGTGTGTGTGTGTGTGTGTGTCTGTGTGTGTGTGTGTCTGTGTGTGTGTGTGGTAATCACTCTATAATTCAGAGAAAATTACAGAATCTCTTATTCTGTTGAAACAAACCACTCAAACTTCTCTTTTCTCCCAAAATATCTGAAATGTATTTTTAGTTTTAAGAAAAAAATCCCATTGGTTTAAATGAAGGGGCGGGGCTTAAAACCTGAACTGTGTTTAAGTAAGTAAAGTTTTATTTATAAAGCGCCTTTCACAGAAATATATTCACAAGGTGCTGTACAATCATTAACAGTATAAAAATACTGTTACAAATACTTCTTACAAAGTAAAGGATTGTGGGTATTTTAGGATGTGGATTGATTCACGTACAGTCCTTCAGCAACAACACCATTGAAACATTCTGATTGGCTGGTAGTTGAGAGGGGGAGGGGCCAATACAACACCAAGTTTCATCTCAGGTACCACAGAGCGCACATCAACGTCGAGCTTCAAGTCCGTATCTTTTTGTAATCGCAGCGTTTGACCCTTGACCTTCTCTCAGCCTCTGATTGGTCGATAAGCGTCAGCTGATCTCAGAGGTTAAAGCTCCAGACTTTCAGCATCGCCACAATAAAATGGTGAAAATTGGAGCCAATTAGTGGGACTAGCCAGAAGCTGTTGGGTTCTGCTCTGCTGAGTCGGGTTCACGTGAACAAACAGAACCTCCAGCGTCGGTTCCCTCGGAGACCAACAGCTTTGAGAAAGAACCGCAGCACCTCCTCGTTCCATCGAGCACAAAGTGCCGGTTCTGCAGAACGGAGCTCGGAGGCTAATGAGGCAGAAAATCCACCAAACGGGTCAGAACACAGAAGCCTTTCTTCTTCTGTGGTTTGAGGCGGCGGTGCTGAGCCGACAGCAGCTACCTGCAGGAAAACAACTGTCTGCAGAGGTGTACAGCTGACGAGTCAGAACTGAAACAAAGACCGGTCGCTGACTGGACTGGTTCTGCTGCGTCCAATCAGAGCCGCCAAACAAACAGAATCATTTTCTTTCAATCAGGTTCTACAGAAAACAACAGGAACTTTTACTTTGAAAGGTTTAAACCTGTTTAACATCCAGAGATCATTTAATAAAATGACTTCTGGACAATCAGGCAACAAACAGAACCTCTGAGCCCAGTTCTGTCCATCAGCTAGTGGACTGAGTTCTGATAAAACCCACAAACAGAACCGAGAGTCGGACCGGTCCACTGAAGTGACTGCAAACAGAACCGAGAGTCGGACCGGTCCGCTGAAGTGACCGCAAACAGAACCGAGAGTCGGACCGGTCCGCTGAAGTGACCGCAAACAGAACCGAGAGTCGGACCGGTCNTCACAAACAGAACCAAGAGTCGGACCGGTCCACTGAAGTGACCTCAAACAGAACCGAGAGTCGGACCGGTCTGCTGAAGTGACCACAAACAGAACCAAGAGTCGGACCGGTCCACTGAAGTGACCTCAAACAGAACCAAGAGTTGGACCGGTCCACTGAAGTGACCACAAACAGAACCAAGAGTCGGACCGGTCCACTGAAGTGACCACAAACAGAACCAAGAGTTGGACCGGTCCACTGAAGTGACAACAAACAGAACCAAGAGTCGGACCAGCCCATTGAAGTGATCACAAACAGAACTGAGAGTCGGACCGGTCCACTGAAGTGATCACAAAAGTGACCACAAACAGAACCAAGGGTCGGACCGGTCCACTTAAGTGATCGCAAACAGAACCGAGAGTCGGATCGGTCCACTTAAGTGATCGCAAACAGAACCAAGAGTTGGACCGGTCCACTGAAGTGATCACAAACAGAACCAAGGGTCGGACCGGTCCACTGAAGTGATCGCAAACAGAACCAAGAGTCGGACCGGTCCACTGAAGTGACAACAAACAGAACCAAGAGTCGGACCGGTCCACTTAAGTGATCGCAAACAGAACCAAGAGTTGGACCGGTCCACTGAAGTGATCACAAACAGACCTGAGAGTCGGACCGGTCCACTGAAGTGATCACAAAAGTGACCACAAACAGAACCAAGCGTCGGACCGGTCCACTGAAGTGATCACAAACAGAACCGAGAGTCGGACCGGCCCACTGAAGTGATCACAAACAGAACTGAGAGTCGGACCGGCCCACTGAAGTGACCACAAACAGAACCAAGAGTCGGACCGGTCCACTGAAGTGAC